AGCTCTACCTAGACAAAGGAAGTTTGCACAGATACAAAACTAACACAAACGAAGTCACCCAATATAAAGATACCTGACAAAGGACCAAGACCTGTTTTGTGTTGGTGCAGTTTCAGCAGCAGTGCAAAACCCTAAAGCCTAAATCAGGTGGAGTTTTAAAGGTTGCAGTTGAAGAAGGGAAAATAATATGGACTAACTTCAAGGGAGGTCATGCAGATTATGAATGTCTGTGAAACTCTAAGACATCTAAGTGGAGAATTAAACTCCAGCTGAGCTTTCTCAGTAATAAAAAAACTGTTCCCCTTGAGCTATGAGTATTATAAACATGAAAAGAGAACATAAGAGAGGCATCTGAAGAAATATTTGAAAAGTAGATTGCAAGGACCACTCAGGAAAAGAGGGGACCCAAAAAGACAGATGGACAACCTTCAAGGATAATAAGATCTCTGCAAAGTTATCCATTCATTTTTATAAATGCAATGGAGATGGTGTCACAGGATCCATTTCAACTAGGCGGGCAGCTGAACACTTGGATATGTTGACCTCTCCCAGTCAGAGACAAAGGAGCTAAAGACATCACAGAGTCCAGACTTTCCATGGAAATACAGCAGCAAGAAAAGAAGCCTCTCTCTGCATCACACACTGCTTGAAGCAGAGGACTCCCTGTCTGTGTTGCCCAGGACAATAAAGTCCCTGTTTAAGGAGGGTCAAAACAGCTAAGAAACTGAATCAAGTCAGACCCCTATTGTGCTGGGTATTGAGCCCTGTTTACAGTCTTCTCACCCAGCAACAGCAAGGATTCAGAAACCTGAGCCAGCCTAGAGTCAAGGGGATGAATGACTTCAGCAGCATTTCTCACCAACACCATTTCCTGGGTGTAGCCCACAATGAGCAATTTCACACTGAACAGTCAATATGATGGGCCCAGTACTGACTACACATTACAACCAAAGTAACGGAAATGAGTCAGGCAGACAAAACTACCCCAAGGATCCTGGTTTTCTCTGTTTAAAAATCGTAAATTCTCTGATTTTTTGGGGCACAAATTCTCTGATTAAAAACCCCAAATCCACGATTAAAATGAAAGGCCATTATATATATAGGCATCAGTTGAACACAATGTTTTACTGATATATTTACAGTTTTAAAGCAATTTGGAAGTCCACCAGTGCCTCACAAGTGCTATAATAAAATAAAGTCTAAATGCCTATATATTTTGGCTTTTGATTTTGGTTTTTTCATCATGAAAAAAGTCAGAGCTCCTGCTGCCCTCTCACTCATCAGCACACAGATCTAACTATGGTTGCCCCCCACACCCAATGCCTTGTGGTGCTGAGCAGCCCTGATATGCTGTTGCCCCTCACTCCCATGCCACAGCCCACCCCCACCCCAGTCCTGCCAATTTTAACCTAAACTGGAACCAAACCATCATGTGCCCTGTCCTACTGAACCACAGTGGGAACCAGGGCCACGAAAAAATCACTGGGGTCACTAGTTAGACTTGGATCACTGGTTAGGCCGAAGTTACTGGTTAAGTGGGGGTGACCACTTAGCCCAACAACCCAATTGAGGTGACCAGTTCAGTGTTCATTAAAACTGCCTGTAGCATTTTTTTTTTTAAGGGGTGCACCAATAAGAGATTTTTGTGGCTGATACCAATAGCCGATTTTTAAGGATGCACATTGGCTGATACCGATCCAATTTCCAATACCCAGCCTGGCAGCTTGAAGAGCAGTGTCTAGCTGGTAAATCTGTTATGGTGGAAGAGTTGGGGGGGCAGGGAAGGGGCATATTGAGGCTCCTGCGGTGAGGGAGGAAGTGGGGCTGAGGAAGACACTGCCCAGCCGGGGCAGAGCGAGGCAAGGCACAGGACAGAGCCGCAGCTCTCTCAGGGGTGCAGGGAGGAGGGGGAAGGCTCCTGCTGCTGTACACACCCTGGGAAGGCACGGGTAGTGTGTGCCCCTGGATCTGCATAGGGCAGGACAGGCTGCTGCTGTGGGCTAGGGCTGGGGCTGGGCTGGGCTCTTCCCTGCAGTGGGGCTGGGCTGGGCTGGGCTGCACTCATAGCAGGCTGCAGCGGCACTGGGAGGGGATTATGCGGGGGCTGTAGCCCCCTCAATATTTGCTGTAGCTCCCCCATTCCCCCCTCCTAGCACCACCACCCACTCCAAGCACAGCCAGGCCCAGCCACCACCAGGAAGAGCCCAGCGCAGGCCCAGCCTGCAGCAGCAGCCTGCGCATGCCCTGTGCAGATCCTGGCACCAGATGTCCCCTCCATGCCCTCCCAGTGTGCACACAGCTGCCCCCCCGCCCCCCCCAACAGCCCCAGGACAAGCCACAGCTCCATCCTACACCCCATCCCGTCCATCCTGGCTGGGCAACCACACCCCCAGCCCCACTCCCTCCTTTACCACAGGGGCCACAGAAAACCTGCAAGTGGTATGTGGAAGGCTGGGAGGAGGGGCACACACATACACAGTGTGTGAAGCAGCACCCAGCAGGTAAGTGTGCTGGGGGGGAACGGGGGGGGGGGGGGAGGGCTGGGTTGAATGGGGCCCCAAGGCAGGTGGTAGGACAGTCAGAGCCCTGGGCTGCTCATCCAGGGGTGGAGGGAGGCTCCCCCCACTGCACACATCCCAGGGGAGGCATCGGAGGCACATACACACCAGGCGGGCTGAACACTGTGTGCTGGGCTCTGCACCCCACTGCTACTAGCTCAGGAGCCGCAAACAATGTCAGGTGCGTCCCACCGCCAGGTGCATCTTGTCACCAGGCTGCACCGTGTGGAAGGCACATGCTATAGCTCCCGAGGCAATGGCAGCAGGACATAGAGCCCAGCACACAGCCCGCCTCTACCCCGCACACAAATCTGGGAGTCCCCCTGCACGAGCTGCCCAGGGCTCCAACCGTGCCTCCCATGCCTCCCCCGGGCATAGACAGATCCCAGGGGCTACTACCAATTTGGGACCCCCAGGATCCTTATCAACAGGGAAGTGAAAGCTGCAGTTTTAAACTTGGTGCCATTTTTGTCTCTGCTGGGAAACATCAAATTTAAAATTTCAGCTTTCACATTGTTTACCTGTGAGCTGGGAACAGGGCCCCTCCAGCAATGGGGCTGAGGGGGCAGCCAGGGCCAGGCTGGGCCAGCAACAACACACTGCGCTTCTGCAGGCAGGTAGGCGGCAGTGCTGGGAGGGCCTTGGGGGCTATGGCCACCCCAAAATTCATCTTGGCTCCCCCGCATAGCTACCCCTCCTACTGGTGCTGCCCACCCACAGAGGTGTGGCACAGTGCTCCTGGCTTAACACCATGCATCTTTGCAGCCACACAGGACACAGCCAGGAAACAGCTCCCTGCAGGTAAGTCTAATACAGAGCAGGAGGAGCTAGACAGAGCTGTGGGCAGGTTGTGGCAAGAGGAGGGGGCGGGGGGCCTGCCTCAGAGTGATTGAGAGTTGGGGAGGGAAAAAGTCCTGTGAGGGGAAAGTGTGTGTGTGTGCACGTGTCCATGCATGCATCTGCGTGAAAAAATTGCTGGTAGTACTTAAGGCTGTATCGTTTTAAATTGGCGGTATGCAATCTGTCAGAGTTTGGGAACCGCTGGTCTACATGATTAACAGAGAATGGAGTTAAATGTAGGTAAACAGCTGTAAATAAATACTACTGCTTTTTTAGTGGACCCTTATTCTTACAACCACTTACAGTCAACTAGTTCCAAATGCCTATTTCCAAAACTGACTTAACACTTCATGCAGTTGTAGCAAGTAGGAGGTGGAGAGGGAGGGGGCAAACAGGCTCCTAGGGTCTGTGGAGCAATGGAGGCTGGGAGCATGCCTGCAGGGGCTG